TCAGATGGTATGGTCCTGGGTTAACTGAGGGAATTTCAACGACAGGATGAAAGCAAACCAGTGACGGGATGATGGGGCCTCCAGGGGCTGGGATGAGGGTATGTGTGTGGGTTCATACCACCTCTAGACCTGCAGGGGTAGGGGCAGGTGGTACTGGAACTAGAAAGTAGCTGTAGCTGTAGTGGGAAGTTTCCTGACAGGAGCTGTAGCCTTCGTTCGGTACAAGCAAACGCCAACCAGCAGGGACAGAGTGGGAGAAATCAATACCCCAATGTCATTTTCCCCGCACCCTTCAATATCCTGCTGGTCCCAGCATAGAACAGCAAGGTCCCAGCACAGAACAGTGTTTCCCTGGACAGAGCGGAGTAGGGAGAGAGTGAATCTGGAAGCAGAGTATTTGACATTCCTAGTAAATGGGACCTAGCTAGAGTTTGGAAGGAAGGGGTCTTCGATTTTTCTTAATGGGAAAGAAGAGACCTGCTATGGAATGGCTGTACAGTATGTACGAATCTGAAGCATGTGGTGTGCAGCGTGTGCAGTTGTAAATGTCTCTGTACTAACTGCCTTCCTGCCCCAGCAAATACACTCTTAGGCACCCGGTCCTCAGTTTCTAGCCTCTGCATGGTAAATACAGATGTTTGTAAATTAGAATGAAGGGATGAATTGTTTATTGTTTATTATTCAAAAGAAGTATTATCTTTAAACAATAATTAATTTGCTATAAAATAAATTGATCTAAGGAAATATACTTAAACTTTCCTTTAGGTTTGTATTTTTTAAATATTTTTGCTATTGGGCGTGTGCACTCACTGGAGAGAGACAGGGACCGAGACAGAGAGGGAAAGTGAGAATGGCCACAGCACAATCTCTTCTTGGGATTTTGGGCACACACACACATGTGCCTGATGTGATTTTCAAGCTGTCAGGTCTGGGGCTTAAACCTTGGAATTGGCCATGGAGGATCCAGCACCTTAACCACCATGCTACCTCTTGGCCCATAGGTTCGTATTCTTAATATTGAGTTGTTGGGAAAGTCATGACATATTTTTGCATAGAAAAACAAACAAAAAAAGTCATGACTTTC